ATGATGAACTACGTATAAAAACGAAATGGGGTCAACTATGAAAAAATACATGGAAAATACATATGAACATAGAAACCACACTCGACCTACGGATTGGGTACGGCTCTCGCCCTAAGCCACCGAAGTCTTCCCAACCTCCTTGTGGCACTGCTTCTCCAAAATCTTCCATGGCTGCGGACCAGACTTCCTGATGTTCCTTGCTTGCGACATACTTGGCAGCAAGTTCACCACTGGTAGATGACAACAGTGACTACGGGAACTATTGGGCTGCATCGATGGCGTTGACGTCGATTGGCACCAGAAGACGGCGAAGGGCGGGCGGCCACGACGATGACGGCGACGACAAGTTATGAGGCAATCGTGCAATAGCGAACAGAGCGGCTAGAGTCCGTGGCTAAGCATGGCCGCGTGGCAAACTCTAGCTTTAGCGAGACTACGGCGCGCCACGTCAAGCAGACCTCTAAGTCGTCCGAACGGCATAGCAGCATTCAATTTTATTCGGGTTTTTCTAATAACATTCAGAAGCTTCCACGAAGTCGATAAATAGGACACATGAACAGCTGGAATAATTGCTCTTTACAGGTGTTCATCTATTTTGTCCCAATTATCGACTTCAGAGAAACTTTTGATAGTGCTGAATAACATGTTTTTATGATGACCTGAATACCATGATTTTCTTTGGAATATTTGAGTTGGCGTTGCCCGCTGCTCTTTGAGACTGGATGAGAATTGTTCCTTAGAACAAGCAAACATAGGTAGGCCAATAGTGTCGGTGTTTCCACCCATACGCTCTTCGGTATGAACACCGATAAGCACAAAAGCTTGACAATGTGTTTTGGACATCTTCGATAAAGTGGCTCAACTCCAGCTCTCACCATGTCCGTTGAATAGCACCACATGAAGCAACAAAGATGAGAAGATATAAGCGTCCTGTACAGACCTGGAAAGTCACAGAGTAGAAACTGAGGTTGACCCTCTCATCCTTGAGCAGTTTTTGGACATAACACTCAACAAGTTTCAAGCATGCCCGGTGTGTGAGACCGAGCACGCTTTTCGCGGGCTGTTGCTGTGGCCCGCCGGCGGGCCACATGGTCCAAAGAGCAACCTAATTTGTCGCGTTCCCATTCTTTGAGTTATAATTCCAACAAAATGTCACAGAAAAAGTGTTAATCCATTCACAAAACGTTCGTGCTACGTTGAGGATGATTTAGCACTCCTTCTTTAACATTTTAGTGGGACTGTACCTCGAAGAATTTGTGCGTATAACGATATCCACTGTTACTTTGTAAGGCTCTACAGAAAATAGGGAAATGCTCAACTCATCTCTGAATTTTCCTGCCTGTAGGATAAAAGTCCAACAGAACATCATAGAACTTTGTCTAGACCCGAGAGATAAATTTTGTCCTCGAATCTTTGACCGATCGGTTAGAGGCAGGTTGCATTGTTGTGATAAACTTCGTGATACCCTTACTCCAAAGTTTTTTCGGCAAGGATCTCTCTCCAAGAATAATTCCCAAATCGGATTGAAAGTCCGAAAGAGAGGCGGAGAAGATGCACTATCTGCTACAATGAACATCTAAGTAATAGGTCGTGCTTATAAATCATGCCAGAAGGATTCTCAACAAAATGCTTTAAGAGCCACTAAAATTCAGTTTTGAGTGTTTTCCTAATTCATTACACATAGTCAGTGTGAATGACTAATTGATTACGCTTGATTTCGATCCTTTCAGTATTTTCTTTACAGGAACTTTTGTTTTCTCTCATAACTTACTTGGACGTACGTGATTCATAGACCACAACGTCTCAAAGTTGTTCAAAAGGCTTTGAGTTCAGCTGATAGTTGAAAGCGTCAAAAAGTATAAAAAAGTCCAATAAATGGTGTAACTATCAAGCCCACCTAGGAGCACGATATGGTGTGGCCCTCCAGCTGTCGTCAATGGGTTAAGGACAGTTCTATGACAGGTTGGCTCTTTTCGAATAGCCGTGTAGTTTTTACATCGAAGGCAGCTTGTAAAGGATGTTATAAGAGCTCAAAGTTGGCATTCCTCTTCTACCATTATTGTGGGGAAGCGAGGTTAGCACATCTTAAACCCTTATTGCTCCTTTTTCACATTGTATTCGTGACGCTGGCAAATATCTACTCCACCTGGGCCAAAAATTCTTTACAAGGCAGAATCACATAGCCAATCGGGTTGTTAGCTGTGCATTTCACTTTACAGTGCACTTCGCTCGTGTATTACTGTACTCTTTGTATTGTTGTCACCACTCACAGGCTGAAGAGACGTGTCGATTGGTTTGTTTGCTACGGTACATCACGTCAGCAGGAGGCACGTGCAGAACGCTATCACATTCTTAGTGTGGGAGGAGCATTCACGACAACTGCGAGGAACACTGCGGATGTGTGCTTTTCGCACCACTACAACACGAGGTGGCCGAGCTCTCACCATGCTGCTGCCTCTGATGCTCCAACTGATTGCAGTGTACCCTTAATTCTTCTCATTGGCAGGACCTTTTTATCCATATCAGCACTTTTGCAGATTTCCGAATTAGCTGTATGAATTTCGTTTCTCTTTAACAGTCTAAACGTTAGGTGTTGTCTGTAACCTTATCCTTGAAGTCAGTAACGAAGATCATGTGAATGCAGGAAATTTCTCCGGGAAAAACGAGAGTTCCGACGTACCCCATATTCATAACGTTTTTGGTTCGACTGCTTTCTTCTCAAGCTAATCTCCTTTAAAGAATTTAGGTAATATTGCGAACCCTTGGGCATTCGAAGCTGTTATGGGCTTAGGGCCCGGACAGAGCATGGTTCAGTATTTTTCGAGAACTCCCCTCATCCTTAGCGATGGGAGACTTAGAGACACAGTGTTACACGTCACTTTGGTTTCTAAACATCTCAAGGGGACTATTGGCCACGGAAAATCGCGGTCGGATCCTTCATGTTTGAGCCAAAGGCTTGACAATATATCAAGAGACACGGGTTTTGTTTTGGCGAGATAACAACAGGACCTAGCACCCCATAGCACAACAATGGACCTAGATCGTTATACTCGCCCTTACGAGGCTGAATCGTTACGAACGTTTATGTACCCGCTGCCAAGTCCCGCTTGAAGCCGATTGACTGAACTTCAGTCGGCCATTTTGTGAAGTTGATGTAAAACAGTACAGGAAATTGCAAAATGGGAAAGAAAAGTAGTTGTCAACCTGAGATTATGCCACTCAAAAATGTGATCGAAAGACGTTGAGTGCTTTTTTGCCTGGCTTATTGCCAAAAAACGTTTATCACGTTAAACTGCAACGATACCAGGAATAGAAAGCGATAATTGGGGTTCAAGATCCCGGGCAGTTTAACACTGCATGGATCTAGAGCACTTGAGAACTCCGTGTACCCACTTATCGGGATTCGCGTGGGAATATGTTCCCGCCCGAACGTTTTGGACGTATTTAACCTACACAAAAACCGAAGCTCATTCGAGAAACGGATGACAAGTACAAGCGCAACTCTGACGACATTTGAAAGCTCACCTTCGATAACCTTTTCGTCAATCGAATATTCAACTTACTTCAATCAAGAACAATTTCATGTGAGGGAGGGGGAGTGGGGGGAGGGGGTAGAGCTGGCCGAGAAGTCTTCTTCATTCTATTTATATGAGCAACCGAGATTCAAGTAGGATTTCAGCTTCACCTGCCGCGCCCGAATAGGAAGAGTCTTTTGAAAAACGGTAATTACTAAATTAGAGCCCATTATTCATACCTAGTTAAACACATTTTGACTGCATTTTCGTAAGGAATTTCAAATCAGAAAACGTTTGATCTATCTCAGAAGCCGAAACCAAAAAACCCCTTGTTAACGTGAGCTCGGACCCTGTACAAGGAACAGACCTAATTGTAAGCTCAGTTGGTAAAAACACGATTAGAATGCCTCTATGCAATTGATAGCTCATTCAGTTGCCAAGATAAGTTTTTATGACTTCTAGAGCTGACTTCATGCTTCACTGGTAATTTCAAATGTCTATCAAAATTAATAACTCCCCGCAAACGCAATTTGTAGAATGTTTCTGTAGACTATCTGTTGCCATCTCGTTATGCTTTTTCAAATACTGTTGTGCTGAAATGAACTGGAAGCGTTTAGGAGCAAAAGTCGAAAAATTATCTAAGATGAAGGCTGCTGTAGTGCTCTTTCTGCATGTACCTATAAGAGGCATGAATTGCCCAACAATGTGCTCTATTTGAGCTTATCGGGCCTTCAAATTATGGCCACGCTCTCTGAACCTCGGCAACTGTAATAGAAGTATAGTAAGAGGGTTGTGTGAGAATTTCTCTCATCTGCTTTCTTGATCTCTCTCATTGTCCCAAGGATAGGCCCGGCTATGCCTTCTTCCGCTGTTGTTATTCTCTCCTCGACCGTTCCAATCGAACGCCCCTACAAGATTGGCGATTTAGACATTTGGACAAAACTTAATTTCGAACTTTTCCAAAGACAAACTTTCCAACGCCCTTACTCCATCTACTGCAATTATGTACATATTTCATGGTCTCATCCTTAACTTCTTGAAGGAATTCAGTTTGACACTGTGCTTCTTCTCCTCATCCTATATTTTTCAAGTAGAAAAGCTCGTGGTGAACAGTTTGCTGGTCAATGATGAAGTGATAAAGAGACCTTCCGAAAAGATTGACAGAAAGCCCAGTTAAATACCATTTCACGATATCAGATTGTTCGCACAAATCTCATTACAGACTACTAGCTACCCATTCAAAATTCGTTCGTCTGCTCGTTCCCTCTTTACGTTTTGATTAAACATGCTTGTTGAGGTCGCTTTCATCGTTCAATACAAAGATATAAACGGTATTGTTCAGAATGGTGAACGCCGATCTTTTGAAGAAGCACACCAGCGCATACAAGCTGACACGTGACACGGCCGCCGAGTTCCATAAACAGTACGTAGATAATTTATTGAATTACAAATATTACAGTCGGGTTTCTGACAGCGAGGGTCTTATCAAAAAACTGGTGGAGTTTGGTTTAAAAAGTGGCTGATGCAAAGTCCATCTCAGAATTTTTAAACAGATTGATTTGACTGATTGCAGGCTCTTCACACTTCACCCGGAATTGGCTAAATACTACGACGCTGAAGACATTGATCCAGACAGAATCCCTAAGGTAAGCGGACATGAATAAGGAGAACCCTAACGAAAAAGTTTTAGACTTTCTCGACAAAAAAAAAGCACGTTCACTTATTGGGCTTCCTACTTTCGAAGTTGTTTACCGTTGAGTTATTGCTGCATACCAGGTTCGACACTGGCCCTACAATCCCTCGCGTGATACCAATTAGTGCTATTGCTTCCCTAATAAGTGTTTCCCACGTCATTCCCTGTTTTTTGTCTAGTTACGGTCTTCTTAAGCTAGATTTCGATAAGACCATTGTCAAATTTTAAGCCCGTCCAGTCCATAATCCCGACCACACAAGAACTCCCGTTTGCAAGAAAGTGCTGCTCAACTGCAACGAAAATGGTTTTGATTTTTCGAATTAAACAGCTCAAAGAAGGAAATCTCGGGAATCGTTATCTATAATAATGCCGTAGCTTATGTTTCGTGTGTTCGTTCTCTAAGGATGTAAGAGGATAAAGTCTGCGGAAGAGAGCAGTCTGAAGAATGTGCGCTTCCAAGTCGTCAATAATATTCTAAAAGTAGCTCAAAGTTTGATATGGGAGAATGATTTAGCTGTCTGGCTCGGCATATGGGATGTTGTCGTGCTCCACCTAACGGTACACATTTGGTACAAAAGGGATTGCAAAGAAAAGATAAAATATCTTTTCTGTCACATGGGCTTTTTAATTCTTCCCCCTATTCTGGAACTATTTTGAAGTCGTTTTCCCAAGAGCCTTACTAACTCTTGTTGTAAACCGTACTCAGGAGACCATACGAAAGTCGTTCCAGTGTGATTTCTTTTTAGGAAGTAGACGCGCTGACTAGGGATTGTAACCACCGCTCCGTTCAAAGAACAGTTCAGCAGAAGCAGCAAAAGTCAGAACTGAAGCTTCTGATATTTCAAATGCTAATGGGCTTTTCCTGGGTGCCGTTCCATGCCACAAGACACTTCTGGAAGCAAAAGCATTAGTTCGACCGTCTCATGGAATCTGTCCGATCATTCTGCTCAGTTTCATCTCCCTCATCGAAATCGTTAAAGAGTTAGGCATGAACCGTGGCACTTTGAGTTCTATGTTCTATGTAGGTCCTTCAATAGGAACACTATAAAAATTATGAGAACTCGGGGTTCCAGGAGTTGTTAGACAAATCGTAGAAAAGCCAGAAATAAGAGAAGCCTGTGGTTTATCAAATAGGCGCTGTAGCTGGTGTGCTTTTTTTATGTGAAAATCTGAAATGATGATTAGAAGATGGAAAATAGTTTTTAGGCGCAGAAGTTCATCATGCTCGGCCAGCAAGAACTACAGTTTCTCTTCCGGTAGGTTCGAAACCGCTCCGGTTTATGTTCACAGATGTTTTTCCACATAATATGGACATATCAACTTCCAGACTTCCTGCCGTTATAAATGAGGAGCGTGACTGGCGCAGTGCACTGGGCCAAATCAAAGAAGCATACAGCGATTTCAACTTCCCAATTTCAGAATTCAACGTGAGTTTATCGGATATGACGAAAGGATGATGTTTATATCACTGATCATTTGCAGAAAGTTCCTGACGCCTTTCTCGCGGCTATGGAGAAACATGCCGGTGGTGTAACCCCTGAACAAAAGAAGGAATGGGAAGCACTGTTTGATAAAGCCTACAAGGACATGAAGTCATGGGGATGGTATTGATTGGCGTTTCAATGGTATTATGGCCAACAGCACGAAGATATCGATTTTGATGATTGCTCATTGCATTTGTATAATATTTATAATAGTAACCACTGCAGCTTTCCTACCAATTTCCGAGTTTATCAATGATCAGTGCTTTTTATGTCATCTCTTTGATGCTTGTGTTTTAAGATGAAAGAATTCGACTATCACAACTTTGACAATTGTTGGCTTGGAACAGCCGAGGCGAGCCATCATCTTCAAAGTTTTTTTCGAGCCTCTCTTAATGTATTGAACCCAGATGTACTAAGTGACTCATTTGACTTTTATATATCTATGTGGGCACAGATATTTGAGGCATAGATCTTTATAGCACCTTTTTTCCCATCATATTTATTGGAATACACCCAAGGGTGTGCCATACAACGCAAAAGTATAAACTTTCAGGCAATAGTCTTATGTCAACAAAAAGAAAAACAAAAAAGCTCATTTGTAAGGAAAAGGAAGAAGTCTCGAGATAAAGCCCAAAGTTGAAAAAACACATCGGACTGCGAAAAGGGGCAACGGAGAAATTAGAGCAAGGAGATCGCATGAAGGAACATCATTGAAAGCACATTTGGACCTTTCCTGTATGTGAGGGGAAGCTGCTATCCCCTCCCCATATACATATTTCTGCCTGAAATCAGATGCACAAATCTGTCGCCGTGTCCAGGTCCTGGCACTCACTTTCAATGTGCTCCTTTACTTCCTCTTCTTTTAGCTTCAATGGCTCTGAAGAAAATTTTCAGTAGGACTCAGCTCTACTAACAATACCTATACCTTTCATTATCGAACATCTGATTCTCGGAATACTTGGCTTATACCTATTTCAAGGACTATGGTAGAGCTTCCAAAGAGACAGCGTTCTTGGAACTTTCATAATTTTTACCGAAAAAAACGGAGACTTCTTACAGTTTCGGTAAAAGTAGGTTCCTCGCATTATTGTGTTGTACTCCAGCAAGGGCTCATACTTGGCTCCCTCTTTGTACTTCCAAGTAGTAACTTTAGAACTCCAGCAAAACTCACTCGGTTGCGATTGAAACGAGTCAAAGCGCAAGGGAGCCGTTGGTTTCCTCAATTCTTACGCATCAAAGCTTGGAGGGAATGCCGTCATTTGAGTTTTCTACGATTGAAAATAAACTCAATCTCTTGCGGGGTTGTAGGAGTCTTCATTTTCGAATAATTTTTTAGCCACAATTGCGAAACTCTCACAAAATTAATCGCTACTGCTCCAACAGAATTGTGCCCGGACCCGTTCGTAAGAACGTTTTATATTGGGGATGGACTCTAACCGTTCCTGTCAGTAATTCGAAGAAAATCCGAGGTAGGCTCACTCACGTTTATTCTTAGTTCTCAACGAAACAGCCGATGGGATCGTGAGCAAAGCCCAGTACTTAACAGTTGGCTGTTCTCTGAGCATCACAAAATGAAATTGAAGCTTCTTGGAAGAGTCGAAAGTGTAATTAGACAAAAAGCGGTTCCACCCCCCACCAGAGATTGACGAACACTCGACTTGAGCTCAAGGAAGGACGTCATGTCATGTGTGACAGGTTTTTAGTGTACATTCGATCTTTCCCTTGGATTTCATGGTGTGGCTAGAGCTTGCTAAAAAACCTACCAGTAGGATCCCAGCGCTCATCTTTTCCAACCTTCCAAACAAATGAAAGCTGCAGAATGTTCAGCAATTCCAAACCAGCAAAGCAAAGGACGACTAGTTAGGAATTTCTGAATTGGCGCGTTAGCCGGCACAACGATACCACTATTCAGGTAAAATCAGGATATGGTATGTGACGGTAACGGGCTGGTAACCATGACCATCTTTTTGTTTTTAATAAAACCAAACAGGTACACCCAACCAGCCAACCAAATATCATTTTACCCTCGGAGAATACTGAGCTCTTCAACCCTTCAGCAGTCATTCTTCAAAGTATGCACACTACACAAGCATATGCCTCGGACACAGGAGTGATCATGACATCCCAACAGAATTGGCATGAAACGGAAAAGCGAGCCATACTGTAGGGGATATGCACGCTAAGAAGCGCACTATGGGCGGCTTACAATTTGAAGGCGTTCTGCATTTGATCAGCAGCGCTAGCCAACGAATAGTCAGATGAGACGATTGAGTGTGCTTCTGTGTCTTCACCTCGGCCTCCATGCCTTTTTTCGGTGACACTAACGCTCAGGATAGCCCACGTGTGAGCTGCTCGACACTTCGCGCGTTCTTATAGCCTTCTCAGGATATCAGCAGTAAGTCCCTGTTTTGGTCTCACTCTCTATGGTGCATAGCAACGGCAGTCACAGATTCAACCTGGTCCAATAGCAGTTAAAAACACCTGGGTTCTCTCAACACATTAGATTTGTGTTGATGTGGCTTGAATGATTTGGGTAACATATGCACAGCTGGGCCGAAGAACTTTAGTATGTCAACATCATGACGAACATTTTTTTCATCAAAATTGATGGCTCGTAAAATCCCTCCCAACCTGCACGCGCAGAAGATCGAACAACACCACCGCTTTTCTTAACCCAACCGAAATAATTATCAATTGCCCCATCTATAAGTACTTCATCTTCATCAGCTTGCTCAATTCCTAGAAAAAAAAGATCCAGAGCTTTGATTAATCGCTGCAATGCGTGCGATGAGCAGTGTAACTATTTCTTCCGTTCCATTCAAAACCGAAAATCGTCGAAAAAAAGCAAACAAAGGGGGATTCAAAAGCACATTATTTCGGTGCGCTGCGGATGACGTGTTGTTCTTCCTTTAGCAAATGATTGAATTGGATAATATAAGCGTATTTTCAGCCTTCCCAAGATTTCGAACTTCATGGGCCCAAAATTTTGGCAAGTTCGCCTTCGTCGTCAGAGCCTGAAAGTCGAAAACCATTGAGATTGATTCTATAATAAGGCAAGATGAACCAAAGATAGTTCTCTAGACTAGGAGATCCCCTTCTCGGACCCGGTAAATAAGAGGCTCAAGAGAGGATAAATTATAAAGGAACTTTGGTGTTGAACTCCGGCACTATGAGATGAGCCCACGCACCCCCTTTCTTCGAGATTCACGATTTACTGGCGCTCAACTACGTACTCAGCCTGCACAAAGACTTGCTGGGCCAGCAAATGCGCCCTTGGGCCCAGTCCTTTCCAACGAACTATTTGGTACCAATAGACAAGCCTCACAGCGAACGAATTTTTAATCAGCCTAATGGGTGACCAATTCATGATATGATTCTCGCAGCACACGTAATGTAGCTTCAACAGTTGGCTTCATCCCCTTACCGAGATTCCTAGCTAGTGAAACTGAACGCCTAAAGTGAAGTCAGCATACTTTCAAATCTGTCGCCCGCTTATCAGAAAGGATTTCCCAAGGCTAAAAGTCAAATTGCAACAAACTTAGGGTTTGTTGTCCTTGGGTCCCTGCAAAAGATAGGATTTTTCTAAAGGGTAATGCGTGGAAAGCAGTGACGACTCAAGGTCAGAAATAACAAAATTGTCCAAAACTGAGTCATCTCGTAAATATTACAGGGATCTTATCGGAATTTTGGAAACCAGTCAAAGCAAAAATTTGGAAACAAGTGGGCCATCTCTTATGAATCTTACTCATATCCTTGTCAAACATATGTTTGCGACTATTGAAGGAAAAAAACAGTTCTTGAAAATTCATCGTGGAAATTTTAGCACAGCTTTCGTGGGATCCCTGGCCCCTACAATCAATTGGGAAAATGGCGTGGGAAATCCTCAACAAAATCTTTGGAGGAAAGCTTCAATGACAGCACATCTTTGCTGAGAAATCGAGACGCCGCAGCAATCAAACTGCCACCATTGCGAGATAACTGCTTGGCCATGGTGCTATGATTAGTGAAGCGTTCCAGGTTGAGTATTTGCAGGTATTTGCTTTCTATTCAGCGTGAATAATCCTCAATGTGATCCAGGCTCAGCTTTTTGTGAAGAAATTAACCCACAGAGCTATTATGATCGACCTGCTAAATATAATCTTCCACGCATGAGAGACTTCTGTCAGCTGCATTATTTGCTCGAATTGTCCGAGAGTTTGGATTGAAGGATGTACTTTCGTCAACAAGCGACATTGATATCTACCTTTATTTGCCAAGATTCTGAACAGCTGCCGCAGGAATTTCATGAAGCCTGCGCTCTGGGCAGGAGCTCAGTCTGAAGTGCATTCACTGAGCAGACAGGATGGTGAAGGGTTGCGATAGTGCATTACAGCAGCTACCCTTATGCATTCAGGGCAACCACTCACATAGTCAAGTACTGAGTAAATGCATCTAGGACAACATAAATCCAACAGCTAAGCGATCCACCATGTGACGAGTGTGTAACACCCACGTCGGCCAAAACCTCAATCACATGGGCATGGCAACAGCTGTGCAGGGGTTCGGTGAGGGAAAACAGTGTGGGTACGTGAAGGACAGATTTGCTCTGGTTGCCCATATGAACGGAATTGATGCAGAGGTCAGGAGCATCGGCTTTAAAGGTTTGACGCATAAACTCGCTAACGGTAGGAACCTAAATTTCCACGTTTGCGACGTCCCATCTGATTCAGAAAGTACCCCCAAGAAATGAAGTCACTGCTATGAAGCCCTGTAAGTCCTATAAAGGATTCTTTCTCACTCGAAAGTAACTCGATCCAGCTAAATAGGCTGAAAGCTGATTGTTTTAGAAATATAGTTTGGAATAGAGGTCAATGTGAAGCCCTCAGAAGAAAACAACGACATACTATAGAAATGCCTCCTTTCTCTCAACAGCTCTTCCAGGAATATTTCAAACACTTTGCGAGAGGCATCAGTTTCTATGTCAATGTTTACTCGTCTTCTTCAGAATTTACAAAATTCTTCTCCTCCTCTTTTGTTTCTTTTCTGGACTCACCTCGTGACTACAGGTTGTTATGTTAGCTAAAATACTCCCAAATGTCAAGAAGAAGCAAATAAAAGTCTCCAGGTCAAAAAAGCAGAACGCGCTTG